CTGCAACGGCCGCCGCCGCCGCCTCCACCTTCTTCTGCCCCAGAGGCCGCTTCGCAGGGAAAGTTACATAACGCGCCGGCAAAGCCTTCTGGGAAACGTAGTCCCGCCGGGGCCGGTTCTTAAAGGGGACGGTTGAGGGGGACTCGTCGCTTCCCTGCCGCGCAACCCTTACCACTCCTCCAAGAGGGCAGGGAGTTGGGCGCGCTTCGGAGAGCTCGGGCACAAGAGTTGGGGGTGAGGATGTGGTACCAACGGCCGGAGGTACCACGAATCCAGAAATTGTAGGAGGCGGACATGTTTCCGAGCGTGCAGTTTCTGCTCGGACTTGCTGTGCAGCTTCGAGCACAAGTCTTGCCCTCTCTGAGACTGAGTTCCCCGCCCATCAAAGGTAAGCCAATGGCCAGTGAAGAAGGCAGGCGCTCCTGGGTTGGGGTGGAGGGGCCCTGATTGGATGGTTTCTGGGTAGGGGACGGGAAGTTGGCCATTCGATGGGGTGTGTGTGGGGGGGAGGGGGGGTTGTCCACTTGGCACTTTGTTCTCCCCAGAATCCTGGGTACCAGCCCCTGAGCCGGCCCAGCATCAGCCGGGCAAGAAGAGAGGCCCGAAGGCCTCTGCCTCAGTTGCCTCCTCTGCTGGAGCGGTAAGCGCCCTCCGACTCTGTTCCAGCGCTGACAGCGCGCTCTGGTGTCCAAAGGGTTACGACGTCCGTTTCTGCGCCCGCCTCCAACTTTTACTACAATTCCCAAAATGCCCCGCGGATCGGACAAACTGACGCACTTCCGCTGTCTGGGAGGTCTGGGGAGGCCTTCCCTATTCCCACAGACTGTCCTACCTCCGACACCCCCCGTCAATTTTGCGGGGGGTGGGGGTGCTTCTCCCGTGTTTTCGGGGCATGGAGTTGAGGGGATCACCACCTTCTACTGCTCCCCAATTGGAGTGAAGGGAAGGAGGCCCGAGATGGCGGGCAAGAGTGGGGGGCGGGGGGATGTAGTTTCTGGGACGAGCAAGCGCCAGACCACCTTTCAGCAACCTTGAGTGCTTACTACCTGATAGGCCCAGCCCGGCTCTGGCGACCCCCATGTTTTTTCTTATAATTTTTTTTTTTTTTTTATTGATTGCAGAGAGGAAGGGAGAGAGACAGAAATAGAAACATCAGTGATGAGAATCACGGATTGGCTGCCTCCAGCACGTCCCCTGCTGGGGATAAAGCCTGCAACCCAGCATGTGCCCTGATGGGGAGTCAAACTGTGACCTCCTGGTTCATAGGTCCCCGCTCAACCACCGAGACATGCTGGCCCAGCCGTGTTTTTTCTTGGTGTCGTTGGGAATAGTGCGAGGCAGGCGGATGTGAGGGCTGGGCCGGGAAGACAGGTCTCTAAGTTCTAACCTCCGTTAGCCTCTTCCTAAGCCTGGGTCCATGCTAAGGACACAAAAATATTTTAATGTACTGTCAGCGTTGCATTCTTCAGTGTTTGTCAAACTAAACAGGGGCTGCCTACCCCTCTCCCTCATCCAGCTGCAGGCATAGCAGCTCTGATTTTATGTTACCCACCTATAACTTGTAAAAAATGGACTTCTTGCCCAGCTGGTGTGCTTCAGTGGCTGAGCATTGTCGACCTATGAACCAGGAGGTCACAGTTTGATTCCCCATCAGGGCACACGCTGAGGTTTCGGGCTTGATCCCCAGTGTGGGAGGCAGCCAATCAGTGACTCTCATCGTTGATGTTTCCCTCCCTCTCTGAAATTATATACATACTAGAGGCCTGATGCACGAAATTCGTGCAAGGGGCTCGGCCCTCACAGCCCCGCCTGCCCTGGCTGGCCCTTGCAGCCCCAGCTTCGTCCAGAAGGTCGTCCGGATGGTTGTTCTGCTGTTCGGTCTAATTAGCATATTAGCTCTTTATTATATAGGAGGAGGATATATATTAATGGACTTCTTTGCCAAGGTCTCCTTTTGCTTCAACCTAAGCAATGTTATGGGCACAATCATGGCCCTTATGTGCTAGCTACATTTTTATGTAAGATAAAGGTGCATCTATAACTATTAAAAGGGCCAGCAGGTATCACTGAAAATTGCATGTGGGCCATTCTCTAGTAAACTCTAGTGGCAGACAAGAGTTCTGGCCAGATGCCAGCTTCAGGTGGACTGGATTGGCACCTGGCAAGTTTAAGGCAAGTTCCTAAACTCAGAAAAAAAATGGAGATCCCTAGCTTCTGCTTTTCACTGGTTACCTTCAGGTTAAGATGCAAACATGCCTATGAATGCTAAGCATGGTGCCAGGCCCAGAAATGAAGCACTGCAAGTGAAGTGTGTGTTTGTAAGCTGCCCATTATTTCAAAGATGCAACTCCGCTTCAGCATTGGGCAATGCTGAGGACACGGGAGTGACTGAGAGAGGCTCAGGCCTGGGCCTGACAAGGCTCAGCCTAGTGAGGGAGGTAGACTTTCCATTTAAATGTAGATGATTAACTTCATTAACTTCAGATGATTAACTTCATTTCTTGGCAACTGCTGGGGGGGTTGTCAGACAAGGCTTTCCTGAGGAGGTGCTATTTGAGCTAAGACCTGGGAGATAAGTAGAATCCAGTTGTAGAAAATAAAGCCTCCTACATCAAAAGATGCCCATTTTACAGATGAGGAAAATGGAGGACCGTGGTTACGCAGCTGCCCAGGGCGACACCAGGGGCGGAGCCAGGTCTGAATCCAGGAAGGTGGTTATTACCTGCTTTGCTCCAGGCTCTGCAGCAGGTTTCAGAGTAAGAAAATCAGCTCCTGGGACCCCCCCCCCCCCCCCATGGGAGTCTGTGGCTGGCTTCTCAATAAATTCCCACCTTTGCTATAAAAAAAATAAATCAGCTCCTGCCTTCCTGAACTATGGAGGAAACATGCCTTAAGTATGTTTAACACGTCTTCACTTGGGGGCAGGCCCATCCTAGGCGGGGAGGGCATCCAGGATGCTTTCCTGGTGATGACATTGCGGTGGCATCTGAAAGGTGGATGAGTAAGTAGGAATAAGGTGTGAACACTGGCCTTGATGGTTTTAACAAAAGAAGGCTCCAGCCTCTAACTTCAAGGGTGTGTCGCCTGCTCACGGGAGGGTGGGGCAGGTGTAGGGACTGAAATCCCAGGCCTGTCTCAGCCAGAGCCTCGAGTGATTGTATGAAAAATAAGTTTATTGATATCTTGTCACCACTGAGGAGAAAGGAGGGGGCTGAGTTCTGGAGGTCAGACTGCACTGGGAGGCAGAGGACCCAACCTGTACCTCCCCTTGAGAACTTGCCCCCCCTCTCCCCAGAATACAGACTGCTGTCCCCTCATTGTCATCCACGTTCTGATTTGTCTCGCAGCCCCCTCTCCCTCCAAAGTCTGGACTGGGAAGCGGGGAGGCCTCCCGACAGATCAGTTCTCTTCAAGTCAAGACCAGGAGTGATTAGGGAAGGGCGCGTGAGGTTCCCTCTGCAGCCCACCAAGGGCAGTAAGAAATAACATAAAATTGATGGCTTAGAAGTCAGGGTTAAGGAAAGCAGCCAGGCAGACAGCGCTGTACTGGAGAAAGGGCTGGGGGGCCCATCAACGAGGGCCCCCGCGAATCAGGCACTAACTAGTACAGGAAGTGGGGTGCTCACGCCCCTGCAGCAGGAAGCCAGGGTGCAGCTGGCATGGGGAGGGTGCATGGCCCTCCTCCGCTGGGCTAAGCTGGGAGCGGTGGTGCAGGCAGAAAGTGTAGACAAGCTTGAATCCAGTGGTCGATTTCACGGAGATTTCCATCGCCCTCGCCTCTTCCGTGTAGGAAAACCTTTCCTCCTCTTGTGTGGGGGGGAGTCATGGGGCGGAGGAGGGGTTGGGGGTGGCCGGGGCGTCCCTTCCTCGTTTCTGCGGGCGATGATCACCCCCCTGGCTGCCACCTTGGCCCGGTCCACGACAGCAGCCACCACAGACACGGGCTCTGGGGTGATCTCCACCTTGGGGGTAGGTGGAGGCAGGACAGGCCTGGGGGGTGGGGGTGGAGGTGGGGGCAGTGGGTCAACTGGGCTTCCAGGCAGCAGGGGCAGCAGGGCGCTGAGGGCCTCGCTCAGTTTGGTCAGTCCCTGCCGCAGGGTGCCAGCCAGCTCCCTGATGGCGTTGGCAGTCTCCTGCTGCGCCCGCAGGAAGTCCAGGGAGGGGTCTGGGGCCGAGGGCACAGGCAGAGGCAGGAGAGGGGGTGAGGGGCTGGCGGGCGAGGGTGCCACTTGAACCTGTGGCGGTGGCTGGGGGGCTGGAGGGGCTGGGGGCGGTGGAGACAAGGCCAGACGGGGCAGCTGGACGGTCTGCAGGGCTGGAGGGGGCGAGGACTCACGCTCCTTGGGTGGTGGGCAGCCCCTTTCCTGGGGATGGCAGGAGGGCCGGGCCCAGGGCTCCGGGCTGCTGGAGCCCCCCTTGCTGTGGGCTGGTGTATCTGTGGAGAGAGATGTAGGCAAGGTGTGCGTGACCCTGCAGTGCCGTCTGGATTTCTCCTTTCCACCTCCCACCCACCTTAGCCCCAGAGCCGCCATCTTTAAAACTCAAGTCAGATCATGCCTTGGAACAGAAGCCCGCAGACTGCGGAGTCAGTACGTTATACTGAGGAATAACCTGGTAGCCTCTGGCAGCCTTAGTGGAAAAGGGTCCCGGAGGCCTGCAGCTGAGTCAGGCAGAGCCAACCTAGAATCTAGAAGGTTCAGACCATCTGATACTCCCCACACCCCTCACTTCTCAGACCTCTGCTGGATCCCAGGGGGAGAGGTGCGGTGGCCGGAGCAGTAGGGGTTTATCTCCTATCAGGATGCCAGGGTTTCAACCTCAGCGCTGGTCTGTACCAGTTCACCCCCAGGCCTGCTGGGCTGCCTCCGTCTCCTCTCACCTGGCATCTCATTCATGCTCATGAACTTGAACACAGTCCACAGGCAGCGGCTCCCGGATCTCCAGACCCAGCCTGAACCCTTCTCTCCAGCTGTGGGCTCGGCATACCCTGTTGATCACCTACTAATGCCTCTCGCTCACTTGTCCAGAGCTGAGCTCCTGGTGCTCCCAACCTGCTCCTCCCCCAGCCCCCACCCCCAC